TGCTGGTAAATATTTTTTCCCAATTAGTTATTTGTCTTTCTAGCTTGGTTGCGATAGCTTTATCTGTGCAGAAGCTTTTTATTTTAAGGTAGTCCCATTTGTCGAGTCTCTCTCCAACTTGTTGTAACCCTGGGACTCTGTTCAGGAAGTTCCTTCCTGTGCCTATTAGTTCAAGTGTCTCTCCTACTCTGTCCTGCAGTAGTTTCAGAGATTCAGGTTTAATGTTAAGGTCTTTAATCCATTTTGAGTTGATGTTGGTGCATGGTGATAGGCTGGGGTCTACTTTTAGTTTTCTGCATGTGGCTGCCCAGTTTTCCCAGCACCAGTGGTTGAAGAGGCTATGTTTCTTCCATTGTATGTCTTTGGCTCCTTTGTTGAATATCAGCTGGCTATAGGCCTGTGGATTTATTTCTGGATCTTCTATTCTGTTCCATTGGTCTTCGGGTCTGTTTTTGGGCCAGTACCATGCTGTCTTTGTTATTATAGCTCTGTAGTAGAGTTTGAAGTTCGGCATGGATAGCCCTCCCATATTGTCTTTATCCCCTAGAATTGTTTTGGCTATTCTAGGTGTTTTGTTGTTCCATATGAATTTTTGGACTGTTTTCTGTATTTCAGTGATGTACGTCATAGGGATTTTAATAGGAATTGCATTGAATTTCTATATTAATTTTGGAAGTATTACCATCTTTACTATATTAAGTCGGCCTATCTAAGAGCATGGGAGGTCTTTCCATTTCCTAGTGTCTTCTGCAATTTCTTTCTTTAACTTTTTATAGTTTTCGAATCTGCCCTTTTCTGAAGCAGTCACCCTGATTCAGATAAACTTAAAAAAGTGACAGCACTATCAAGGATGAGCAGAGTTAGGTCTGAAGACAGGTCAAAGACTCGTAGCCAAAGTAAAAAGCTAAACACATCTGATGTTTCCAGCAAGAATGACCTTGCAAGCTATGTGCCCTGCCAGTTTACATCTCCAACCACTCATACCATTTTCTTCTGTTGTAATCCAGAATATGAGAGGCACTGAATCCCCAACCGCCTGTGTTTATCTCCTGCTCTGATTGTAATGTAGCAAAAAGAGCTGGAAGACATTGGAAAAGAAAGACAGATAGATTCAGGTCAAGTCATTTTGTGAGGCCTAGTTTCTTCACTTTATGTGACTCTCATGTCACATGCTTCCCAGGATGATTGTGACCAGTAAATTGAGCAACCTAATGAAGCATTAAGCAAAGTTACAAGGATTACTCCTTTTTTTTTTTCTTTTTGCTTATGTGGTGCTGAGGAATTGAACCCAGGGCCTCATGCATGCAAGGCAAGCGCTCTACCACTGAGCCACCTTCCCAGCCCAAGGATTACTCCTTAAAAGATATTGATAATCTCTTTTCCACTTTCCATCCTCCTCAACTTTGCTTTCACAATTAGCATCTATCTTCATAGGTAAATTTTTAAAGATTAGAACTAGAAGCTGGGCTCAGTGGCTCATGCCTATAATCCTAACTACTCAGGAGGCTGAGATCTGAGGATCGCAGTTCAAAGCCAACCGGGACAAGAAAGTCCATGGGACTCTTATCTCCAATCAACCACCAGAAAATTGGAAGTGGTACTGTGGCTCAAGTGGTAGAGTGCTTGCCTTGAGCTGAAGAACTGAGGGACAGCGCCCAGGCCCAGTGTTAACAAGCCACATGACTGGAAAAGGAAAAAAAAAAAAAAGATTAGAACTAGAATGTGGAGACTTAAGTACAGGCCCTAACACAAGTGTTTCCAGGCATGCTGTGCCTTCTTAGAGCAGGAGCTTTGTCTTATATTTACATATAATCTACAGCTAATATTTACTTATAATGGTAAATCATTATTGAACACATTGTTTATAGTCTTAAGAGTTACAAGACAGCTATTAGACACATTATATAGATGGGGCAGTTGAGGCACCAACAAATCTCCCAAAGTCAATATTCATTCTTCAGTTTCTCTGATTTCAATCTCTGCCTCCTAATAAAAGTAGCTGTCTTCATTTGGTTTTTATTTTTTGTATGTGTGTTTGATGTGTTTTTTGCTGCCCATCTTGGGGCTTGAACTCAGGGCCTGGGTGCTGCTGTCTGAGCTTTTTTGTTCAAGGCCAGTGTCTGCCACTTGAGCCACAGCTACTGCTTCTGCTCCTGCTCCTCCTCCTTCTCCTCCTCCTCCTTCTTATTTTTCTTTTTTTTCTTTTTTCTTTTTTTTGGCAGTGAGTTGGAGATAAGCATCTCACCAACTTTCCTGCCCTGGCTGGCTTTGAACCTCAACAGACCTCAACCCCCTAAAGTAGGTAGGATTACAGGTGTGAGCCACTGGTGCATGACTGGTTTTATTTTTTAACCAAATATTTATTGAGTCTTTTTTTGGTGCAAGTTTCCATGCAAAATCAAGGTTTATATGAAGATATGCAAGACCCAATTCTAAATTAATAGTTACCTAGGTAACTGTGATATGAGTTAGAATATGATACCCCAAGATAATGAAGAGATGAGTAAGATCACATACGATTGGTGCAAACCATCTACCGCTTGTAAAGGAAAGATTCCATAGTTTCCTCTTGTTTGCTCTGTAGATAGAGCATAGTGTTTAAGAGCCCAGCTATGCAGCTTGGGAATTTTACTTCTGTGGGCCTTAATTCTCTCCTTTATAAACTGAGAATAGTATTATGCCTTACTAGGGTTTATGCAAGTACTCAGTACCTAAATAAATTGATATGGCCAGATAAATGTAAGCAAGAGTAATACATATTTTTTGTTATGGAGATTGGGCATGAGAACACTGGTAGCATGTCAGAGTTTTAAAACGAGTAACACTTGTATTTTGCAGACTTGTCCCAAAACCATTACCGCAATACAGTTGTTTCCATATTGACAAACAGCATTGACCAAACCCTTAGCCATTTGAGAGAACTTAAGACCTTTTTCATCTTAAGCTATTCTTTTCTGTCTCTCTACTGCCTTATGTCATAGTTAGGAGACCTTGTTACTGTATTTCTTTTTTTTTCTTCCTTTTTTATTTTTGTATTTATTTGTTTTTTATTTTGAGTACTGGATTTGAATTCAGGGCCTCAGGCTTTTGAGGCCCCAGCTAAGTATTTTTAGATTACTAGAAAAGTTAAAAAATACAACACAGTGCTACCAAGTTTATGGTAGGTAATATTCTTAGTAATAAAATGCTTATTTTACCTGAACATGAATTTTCTGGGTGACTATTATTAATACTATTGTGCTTGGTTGAATTTTAGTTATTTCAGTTGAAAGACTGGGATTTTTTTCTAAGTTACACATGTGATTGTTTTCTCTAACTCAGGAACTTGGAGAAAAACACAAACATTGCTTAACTTTGTAATTTTTTTCAAATTAGTGCAGCTAAAAATTGTTTTAGGCTGTACATGTGTCCATACATAAGGAATTGGTGGGTCTCAGTCATGACAAATTAGTTCTAAGCTGGAGAGTAATTTAGGTTAGGCAAGGAAAACCTTTTCCATTGTCTTTCCTCTTGGAATGAGGACTATTTTAGATGTCATATTGGCATATAGTTATTAGTTTGAAACAGACTCCAATACATGTAAATGTTAACATCACTCTTTTATTTGTTTAAAATATTTTTAAAAGAACAAAAAGGACTCAAAACTTTAAAAATGGTTATGTTTATAAAATGGTTATTTTAAATACCTAACATAGTTTAAAGACCACTTGTGCCCAAATTACACTAGAATATTCATGGGGCTGTGCCACCTATAGATTATAAAGGTTATGCTAGTAAGTTGATTGACTTGTTTGTTGACTTGTGCTGGATATTGAACCCAGGTCTTTGTGCAAGCATAAGCACACTACCACTGAGCTAAACCCTCCATCCTGTAGATCATTTCAATATCAGAGTTGTAGATTTTTTTAGTATAATTAGAGTTATAATAGATTAAAATTAGTTACTATAGCATTAGGAAATAGGTGAAAGATGTTTTCTGAACTACAGTGGAAAAATTTAAACCTCCCACAGTCCCTTACTGAGAGTATAGCTATTGCTTTTAAATACAGCTGGGCTGGAGTGTCTTACACATCTCCCCACTTTGCTACATCAGCAAACATCAAAGCTCCTGGTACAAACATGCAAGAACCTGGTAAACAGTTACCCTATATCTGGGAGCTGTGCAACTCAGGTATTCCCAGCTACCTCCCTTCACTTCAAGATCAATGAATAAAAAAATATGACTAGAAAATTAAGATGTTGATTTTTTAAAATGTAGATCCATAACTATATACATAGTGCAAATAAAGCTGACTGCCCTAGAGTATTAGCAATGTTATATTCATGCTCTTTATTCTATATGGAATCATGTGAGACCTATTTAAATGTCTTTTTATTAGAATAGTTAGCAGGTTTTCTTTTTTTTTTTTTTTTGGCGGTTGTGGGGCTTGAACTCTGGGCCTGGGCGCTGTCCCTCAGCTCTTCTGCTCAAGGCAAGCGCTCTACCACTTGAGCTACAGCACCACTACCAGTTAGCAGGCTTTCTATATTTGGTTTTAGTTAACTGATTTCTGCCAGTAATGCACAAAGAAGAGGGGATGTGAGATATACTTGAGTGGTAGAATATATGTATAATGCACAAAGAATGATATGGCTCAGCTTTTCACAATTGAATGTTCATTTGTTTTAAAACATGGTGCTGTATATTAATTTTCTACTGCATTTAATAGGTTAAAAATTCCATTTTGTAATAATGTATGACTCATTCATTGCTCATTATCTTCCCACTGATTTTTTTTTTGTTCTTCTCCTTCTTTTCTTTTTTGAGCCAGCAAGAAAATTTTACATGAGAGGAGGGAGAAACAGTGAGTTGAGGAACACAGTACTTAAATACTGTTGCTTGATTTTTATTGGCCACCGTAAGAAAGGAGATAACCAGTCTAATTCTGCCTCCCCCGACAAATCCCTCCCTTCCCCCTACCTTCCTGCTAGAGGGTTCACAGGGTGTCTGTTGCTAGAAACTGACTGCAGGCAGAATGTAGGCATCTTTCATTCAGAATGGACATTATTGAATAGAGAAGAAAGCTTTTAGGAATGGATCAAAATTGCATGGCTTTTAAAAAGGGTTTGTAAAGAGAATGCTGAATGTTTTACATGTTAGCATCGACTGTTTTTATTTCTCTTCAGACTCTTAAGTTTTCAGAAGCTTAAATATAGAGCCTCATTTTGTTAAAACAGGAAGAAAGAAGAATTTGCCTGGTTAGGCGGCCTCTCTTGAAGAAGTGCTTCATCACCCTCCTGCACCTCTCTGTGGTGTGACGTGGCCTCAGCTCTCTGTAGGTTAGGGTTCTGTGCTGGCTGCAGAATGCTCATGTGTTAGCTGAATAGAGTTCACCGGGAGACACAGGCCAATACAGGGTTTCTTTCTTTTCTCTGAATTCCAAAATGCCATCCAAAGAGTCTTGGTCTGGGAGGAAAACTAATAGACCTGCAGTTCACAAATCAAAACAAGAGGGCCGTCAGCAAGATTTATTGATAGCAGCCTTGGGAATGAAACTGGGTTCTCAAAAGTCATCTGTGACAATCTGGCAACCTCTGAAACTCTTTGCTTATTCGCAGTTGACATCACTTGTTAGAAGAGCAACTCTGAAAGAAAATGAGCAAATTCCAAAATATGAAAAGGTTCACAATTTCAAGGTAAGAATATTTTTGTTTTTAACCTTTTCTTATTAAAAATGCTCATTACTTGAAATGTGTTAACTATCTTCTGGATGACTTGACTAAAATGTTCTTTTATTCAAGGAAAGATGATGTTTTAAAAGGCCTGATGTATTTTATGAATAGCTGAGTAGAGCTACTAAAAATCCAATCCCATTTTCTCTATACTGTGTTAATATTCTGTTTAATCAATGTGTACACACTAGAGCTACTAGAAATCCAATCCCATTTTCTCTATACTGTGTTAACGTTCTGTTTAATTACACACTAGTAAGCCTTGACTGATATTAGAAAGGTGTTATTTAATAATGATTTCAGAATTATTTTTATTTGTGATGCAAATTCATCTAAATACCTTTTTTGGCTATTTCAGGGAAGGATTAGATCTTATCTGTTAGACATGTGCAGTGCATCTGGATTGAGCAGATGGTCTGCATTTCCCATAGTTTCTGTCTTTTCTTCTCAGTTAATGAATTGACCAGGATGAAAGGAGGATGGCTACCGTGGGACTGTTGATGGTGCTGACACAAGCAACTTCTATACAGTTTCACTATTTGCTTTCACCTTGTGTATATTTTGTTTTTAATTGTTTTTTAATGTTTCATCCACTATACCTGAATCTTTCACCAAGATATAACTTATGTTGATATAACTTATGTGTGTGGATTTTAAAGTACAATATAAGCCCTGGAGATGTGTCCTTCACATTCTAATTCAGAGCATATACAGCATGAACTAGTATGTAAGTGACCCAGTTATACCTAATAGGAGATGCATTGGCATTTCTATAGTAACTTTCAATAGTTTGACAACTTTATAATGCAGACATGAGTATTTTCAGATTAGACAGAATGTCATCTCCTTTGTTAGAAAAGGGAGTATTTGATTTCTAAAAGTGTTCAAGATAGAAATCCTGATCTTCAGTTTACGAATTTATTCTGTATCTAGAATGCTGGCTCTGTACAGGGTGACTTTTCAAATTTGCAATTCATCCTAATTTTTTTTAACACCAGCATTTATTTTATTAAAATGTTAAGTACTATGCCTTCCTATGTACTTTATTGGCATTTGTCATAGAAATGCATTATAATCTTTAGATCATTTTTTTGAGGATAAGTATAAGGACTATTAGTAAATAATAGAGTGACTGATAATATTTCAAGATAAACCAAGTAGTATTTTCTTCTTTAAACATTATTAAGGTCCTTAGTTTTCAATCAATGTCCTTGCTTTAAAATGAAATTGAGACAATTCAGTAGATTAAATACTTTTTGGAAAACAGAAATTATGTGTGCATCCACACCTAACCATAATATCCACTTATAAACCCAAACATTCATGCAAGTTATGAGGCTTTGCATTCTTTTTGCATGATATACAACCTAGTTTACCAAGTTTGGTCTGGGAAAAGGGCCAAAAAGTCCTTTGCAAATATAAAGTTATATATGCATGTTAATTCACAAAAACGGTTATTTCGGTTACTAAGAATTATATGTACACTCTAAAAAATAGTTGGTATTTTAAAAATCTTTCCCCAGAAGTGTACCCTCTGATTTGTGCAGTAGAAACAGGCCTACAGAGAGTACCATGCTATGTGCATCCCATGTGCTTTTTATCAATATTGCTTAAAAGCAAACAGATTTATTGAAGAATTTTCATAAATAAGCATATTCCTTTTTTTCTAGGTTGCATAATCCAGGTATTTCTCAATCTTAACACATAGTTTAGTAAGCAAATTGTATGCGCGAGAAAGTATTGAGTAAGACTAGTGTTACTCTTACTTTGGTACCTAAACTGCTTTCTATACAGTTGGTTTTTCCTCCTGTGCTGTGAGTAAGAGAAGCACTGTACCACAGAGCTATATCCCTCAACCCTAAGTGGGTTTTTTTTTTTGGCATATAAAAAGCTAGCTAAAAAAATTAAACCACCTACCACTTGCTCTTTAAAAAAAAAAAGTATGCTTTAGCCAGTTTTAGTGAGCTGCATTACATATTTTATTTTAGACTTGCTAATAAGGTCAGATGCAGAATCTGATTCATTGTTATTTAAAATTCTCTGCAATGGCATTGTGAAGAAAAGAAGAGTCATATATTTGACTTCCAAAAACATCTCCAAAAGAAGTCAGATGTCTAGCAGAAACAGTTCTCTCCCACACAAATGCTCAATTAGAAGGTCATTGCTGGCAATATGTATGTACAGTTCAGAGGTCTGCTGTGGGAAAAGCCGGAACATTTCCATTATGGTAATATCACATGGCCTTGTCAGTGACTCCTTTCTGTGTTGTACAAGTGTGTTCTATTCAACCTTGAGCCCACACACCAAAGCTTTATTTCAATGTCGGTTTCCTTTTTGCTTCTTGAATTATGCCTTGTTATGTAATGCTGCTCAATGGTCTGAACAGCTGTCAAATCCTATTTGCAAAGTGAAGAGCTCCATATACTTTGGGGTAAATGCCACACATCAGCAGGACCTACTACAGAGATGTGTTTGGGGGGCTTTTTCACCCCTAAAAAGGACTTCTTATTTTACTATTATGTAACATGGTCTCCCACTCTTTATCTCCTCTCGTGTTACTTTTACTTATAAGGATTTGATAATCTGTCATCAGATAGTTATGTCTCTTAGGAAAGTTATTAATTTATAGATAAATGTATTACATCTTCTAAAAACTATGACCTTATAGAATAAAAATTTTAAATAGTAAAAGGATTTTAAATGTTTTCATGTACGTACTTTGATTTGAACATCAGACAGTGTATACCTGTATGGAAACATCACATAATACTAATAAACATGTACTACTTTATGTGTGAGTTAAAACTATTAAAAATGACTTTAATATACCCTAGATCAATTCACTGCCCTATCGTAATACCATGAAGAGAAAGGTTGGTGACCAAACAGAAAGACCGTCTGACAGTAAAGTACAAGCAGTGTCACTTCCCTCTACGCCTAGCAATGTTTGCATGCTGTATTCTGAGTCTCTCTGATCAAATGATAGTAAGACCCAGTTTTTGCCCCAGGAATTTGCTTATGATTTATACCAACTTAGACCATTTGCTTGATCTTTCAAATCCCCTCCCCTCCATCAGAAATATTGACTTTCTAGTACATGTAGATACATAGTAACCACTTTTTGTCACTATGAATTGTCTCTAGTTGCATATTCTGAATCCTGTACCCAATAGCAGTGGCCATAAGGCAAAGGAGAACTTCAGAGTATCAGAGTGTTCATAGGAGCTGAAGAAAGCTTTCACCACTCCCAGTCACAGTGGGTGTTACATAAGCTAGTTGAATTTTTGTGCCCCGTAGAATACAATGAAATCCTCTTTATTTTACTGCCTCTGAGTTTAACTATGAAATGTTTCATTTCGTTTGTTGCTTAATTTGGAAAGCATTGTTACATAAAATCAAGATTAGATACAATAACAGAAGCCTTGCTGCACACATGGGTAAATTGAATAGTTAAAAGAAATAACATTAAAGAATGTTAAAGATTTCAGGCACTGGTGGCTTATTCCTGTAATCCTAGCTTCTCAGGAAGCTAAGATCTGAGGATCGTGGTTCAAAGCCAGCCCAGGCAGGAAAGTCCATGAAACTCTTAACTCCAATAAACCACCAGAAAACCGGAAGTGATGCTGTAGCTCAAGTGATAGAGTTCTAGCCTTGAGCTGAAGAGCTGAGGGACAGCGCTCAGGCCCAGAGTTCAAGCCCAGGGCCGACCAAAAAAGTTAAAGGTGTAGCTCAGTGATAGAGGGTTTGTCCAGCATGTACAAGTCCCAAGGTTCATTTACCAGCACTAAAGAAATAAAAGTAAGCTGGGCACTGGTGGCTCACACCTGTAATCCTAGTTACTCAGGAGGCTGAGATCTAAGGATCGTGTTTCGAAGCCAGCCCAGGCAGGAAACTCTGTGAGACTCTTTTTTTTTTTTTTTTTTTTGTCGGTCGTGGGGCTTGAACTCTGGGCCTGGGCGCTGTCCCTCAGCTCTTCAGCTCAAGGCGAGCGCTCACCACTTGAGTGCCACTTCCGGTTTTCTGGTGGTTTATTGGAGATAGGAGTCTCACGGTCTCTCCTGACCGGGCTGGCTTTGAACCGAGATCCTCAGATCTCAGCCTCCTGAGTAGCTAGGATTACAGGCATGAGCCACCAGCGCCCGGCTTCTGTGAGACTCTTATTTCCAAGAAACCACCAGAAAACTGGAAGTGGCACTGTGGCTCAAGCGGTAGAGCGCTCGCTTTGAGCTGAAGAGCTGAGGGATAGCGCCCAAGCCCAGAGTTCAAGCCCCATGACCAACAACAAAAAAGAAAAAGAAAAGAAAAAAAGAGAAAAAGAAAGGAAAGTATAATTATAATGAATAGATACTTTAAGAGTTTAGTTTTATTTTAAGTAGTCTTAAGGTGATAAGTGATTGATTTGATTTTGATTTCAAGTATTTTGCACATGAATGGAAGATATGAAATTTTATATTGATAGATTTCTTGTTGCCAAGATAACATGCAAGCAGTGAATCCTGAAATGTAAATTGATGCTGTAATGAAAATAGCACCGCATATAAGTAGCATAGTAATATGTAGTATGATTTAGGACCTACTAGGATGAGCAAATCGCAGCTTTCCCTGCTTTGTTCCAACAGACCTGGTGTTGTGCTATTTGATAACCTGAATGTACCTCTTTGAGCCACCACTCCTCTTTTGGTGCATGGTTAATTGGACTTTCATGGAGTTTCATGAAAACTGGCTTCTAACCCAAATCCTCAGAGCTCAGCTTCCTGAATAGGTAGGATTGCAGGCATGATCCACTGGTGCCTGGCCAACATAAGTTTTTTTTAAGGGGTAAATAATGATTTTCTCTAGGAGGGGGAGAGAGAGAGACAGACAGACAGACAGACACAGACAGAGGCAGAGAGAGAGGAGAGAGAGAGCGCGCATTCGGAATATGATTACCTGCAAGGAAAGACAAAGCTCCAAGATTGGTGTCT